AACCCGCCGATTTCTCCATTTAAGAACCCCTACGATAAAGGGTGGCATGGAGGGCCTGTAATTTGACGATTACAGCGATTTCTGGAGATAAATTTTGACCGAGCCGGCCATCTTGTGAGTAGGCCTACCGAGGTTAATGCCAGCCAGCTACCTCAAGCCAGTTCTCCCGCCCAAGCTCCTACCAGCTTCTACACCATTCACTGGTCAGTCTCTTTGTATTAGTGTTTATCTGCTTATTTGCATCACTCCCGAGGGGTTGACCTGAGTTTGCAAAATATGCCAGCTTCCAGTCTGTGGTGAGGAAGCCCAGTCGAGCCTAGTCTATTTCATCCAATTCTTTTGCCTGCCAAGCCAGCTTCCACCTCTGCTGTGCTCATCGTGTGAAGTTATCAAGCTATTCTGTGGGGAAGGGTTAAGATAAGCCAGCTAGGCAACTAACCAGGTGTCTTCCCCCAGTACTCAAGCAAGCCACGTGGTAGTCTTCATGCTTGTGATTCAGCTCCAAGCAATTCTGAGTGTTCTTTTTCATCCTTGTGGTGTTGTGGTATTTTGTGGGTTGTTTTTTAAGCTGTCGGCTTGAATATATCTTCGCGGCAGTGTGGCTGCCCTCAGTGGGGCTTACGCCGTTAACCCATAGACCCAGCCACCCACGACCCACTGTGTCGCACCATTGCCGGTCTCAGCTTGTTAACCCACAAACCCCAACTTACACTCACCATGCGGCCCTCAGACACCTCACTCAGCCATTACCCACTCCCCTAACTTCAGTGTTTTTGGGGGCACTACTAAGGGGTTGTAGCACCATATTTTAAGGACCACATAGGGGGGGTCAAGAGCTGAGTGTGTTTTCGCACCACCGTTAAAAGCCTCCTGTGTGTGTCTCTCATCGATGTAAGCACAATTCTACGATCACGTGTGCAGAGGACAGCAGCAAGACGACATAAACAATCCTCTACTTCCACTACCATAAAACCTCATTCTTCACCAAGTCGTTACAGGAAAATATTTTTTTTTTTCCATAGAGACTTTGCGAGTGTTGAGACATTTCTTTTGTGTTTCCAGTGATTTTTCTCTTAGTGACATTCAGTGACTTGATCAGACTCAGTGTTTATCATGTACTGATTGTATTAATTTCTTTTAATCTCCTTAATTCAGTGTTAATTTTCGTGCATTATCTTGTCTGTTGTGTTGTGTGTCTTTTTATACACTTGAAGTAAAGTATTTAGTGTTTTTTTGTTGTGCGTGCAACATATGAGCAGTATAGAAACTTGTGTTTACACTTCAGAATCACCTTGTGTTCTCAGTATTCCAGTGAAGTATTTCAGTAAATTTTTCACCTCATATTCTGCATCACAACTCAGTGTTGTCTGTTATATTATTTTTTCTTCCCAGCTTTTGTGTATTCTTGTTTTGTTCCCTGTGTGTTCATATTCCCTTGTGTTCATATTCTTTCATTTAGCCAGTGTCTAATTTGTCTTATTTCCACAGACAATAGTGCCATTATTTTGTGCAAGCAAGAAATCATTTTTAAAAATTTTTTCACACATCAAGTTTCATTGCAAGAAAATTCTAGTATTGTGTTTATGTTGATGTGTTGTGTTCTGCATCACTGTAAGTGTTCAAGCTTTTTGTTCTGTATTTTTGGCACCTTTATTTTTTTTTTCATTTTTTTATTGAAAAAATTTTCACTTTTTAGTGCAATTTTTAAGTTCTTCTTTTAGAGTAAATTGTTCTTTTGCTTGTTAAGTGTTGCTTGAGTGCATTTAAAGAGTTAAAGTGTTCATTCCTTGATACATTTCTTTTCTTGTGTGTGGTAATAATTTTTATTATTGCACATTGACTCATTTTGCAATAATTCTTGTGTAAAAATTGTGTTGGCATTTTAAAATCCTTCTTGCAGAAATTTTATGCATTACTTGTTGATCAGCAATTGTTTTTTTGCAACATTGCTACGTTTATTTCAGTGCGTTTCATATGCTCTGTTCTGTGCATAATATTTTATTCTTTGTGTTGCCATTTTTATTTTATTTCAGTGAATTGTGCATCTGTTTTTTTTTTTGCACAAGTTTTATTGAGTCCATTTTTGCATTTTATTGTGTATTTCCCTGGTTGCATTGAAAGTAAAAACAACTCACTGTGCCATTTATTCAATTTAAAATAAAGTTGAGCAAATCAGATTTGAGTAAAGTAAAAGTTCTCTTGATTTTCAAAGTGTTGTTCATTCAGTTGCATTTTTTCTTGTGTGAGTTCTTTATTACTGTGTAACTGTAACTTTTAGTTTCTTATGCAGAATAGGGTTTAAGCATTTTCTTCCGTTTAAGTAATGTGCCATTCTCTCCATTTTTCTTGGCTTATGTACTTGGGTAAGTTCACTGAGAAGATGTCCAGTACTTTTGAACGTTACTTAGTGTATCATGAGTCAAAGTAATATGAATCAGTACACAGTACCAATTTTCCTTTAAAATGATAAAGGGGGAAATCCTAGCCTTGAGCAATGTTTTGTTTCACAATTGTATCTGAGTTTGTTAAAGTACGCGAAATTGAAGTTCAGATTAAGTTCCCTTTGATTGTTCATTACTTATTAACGTTTGCCGAGCGGTAGGCACTAGTAAACTCTGCATCCCATCTGTGTTCCACCTACACCTTCAGACTTGCAGGATAGGTTCCGTTGCCTCAAGTGTCCGGGACACTCAGACTGCCCTTGAGTGCAAAGCCTATCCCTTGCAGTGTTGCTAGTTCGAGTAGTATTTCTCCACGGGATGCTTGTCGAAAAACGATTACTTGAAACTAGTAATTGCCATCTCTTGTTGATGTGACTGCCGTCTGCAGAAGACGTCTCTGTTACAGCTAGTGTTCTCACTTAGATGTGGTTGTTGTTCCTAATTTCCCCAGATGGGTGATCCCATCTAGTTGACAGTAATCTTGCATTGTAAGAAGTTATTTCTCGAATTAACTTTCACGTTGTTAACGTTTGTAAATGTAGTTTTTTTAGCTGATACCTCGTGTCACTGTGTCGACTAAGTTGAATATCGCATTGTTCAACGTGTTCATTTCTTTTCTCTGTGCTTGCGTTTGAGATAGTAGATTCGTTCTCCCTTGCTCATTATTTCGTGTTATAGCGTTAATTTTTTCACCGGGGGGAGCATCACTCACCGAGTTTGTTCATTCCTCCAGTAGAAGGAACTGATAAACCCTTTTTTCCAGAACAAACAGCCTACTGGAAAGGGTTTGCCAGATGGACCCTTTACTATCCAGAGTTCAATCCAACTTTTGAACATTTACCTGGCAAGTCAAATGTAGGGCACAGATGGTTTTCGTGACACGTTAGTGTAGTTACTGCAGATCCCCCATTTTACTGTCGAGGATGTCAAAACTGCCCCAAAGAAACAGATCCGTGTGGTCTGGTGTGATTCGATTCCTGCTCAGGAAGATCTTATTCTTACTGTGAAGCCACAGCCACCCATTAGTGACTTTGTAATGAGCCAAGAATTTTCTGTATCGAAAGCCGAGTTGGGTTCTCCAAGCAGAAAAGTTTACCAGTTAGTAATTTCCCCAGTCCTAGTGAACGTAGCTCTACAGCTAGTTCATGATGCACCCGGGGGTTGCACACCCTGGTATGGATCGTTCTGTGAAACAAGCCAGAATGAAATACTTTTGGCCATGTATGGCAACTGACAATCCGAGTATGTTAAGAAATGTAGTGTCTGTATGCAAACATAAAGGAAATGTCAATGGTCCTAATCCAATCCAAGTGTACCCAACCACTAGGAACCATGGGAAAGAGTTGCCTTGATTTGTTAACCAATTTTAAATGTTCCTCCAAGGCAACAAACATTGTGTGTTATGGTAGACCATTTCACCAGATATTGTGAGTTAGTTCCTATTGCAGATAAGGGCTGCAGAGACAGTAGCTAAAACGTTTAAAGAACGCATTATCTGAGGCATACCCCACCAAAGTCCTTAGTAACAGATAATGGAGGTGAATTCTGTAATGAGATTCTTGAAAATTTGTGTACTTTATACAAGATCTCTAAATCCACCATTGTTCCTCATCATCTGCCAGCAATGGGTTAGCCGAAAGAACCAATAAGAAAGTACTTGATGTCCTGAGAGCCACTATCAACCCCAATAGTGAAACTTGGGATGAAGTTATACCAGATGTTCAATGTGCCATAAATTCTGCTTACAATGCTTCCATAGGTGATACTCCACATTATGCATTGTATGGTGTAGACAAGCGTTTACCCTATGAGTTGTTATATTCCATTCCGAAACCTAATTGCAACCCGTACCAGCATGGCTCGGAGTGTTTTT